TCCCGCAAAGTGTGGGTATATTTGTTGAAAACTAAAGACTAGGTTCTCCAAGCCTTCAAAGATTTTCATGCTACGGTAGAAAGGGAGATCAGCAAGAAGCTGAAAGTGGCCCGATCTGATAATGGTGATAAGTACTGCAGTTCGTTGATGCTTATTGTAAAGCAGCCGAGATCCAACTTGAGAAGACGCCCCGAAGACTTCGTAGATGAATGGACTTGCTGAAAGGATGAACCAGACTATAGAAAAGAAGGTCCAAAGTATGCTATCCAATGCTGGATTGCCAAAATCATTCTAAGGAGAAAGGCATATAGGCCGACCTGGTGAGTTCAGACCGACTTCTCTGATTGTGCCGAGCTCCGAGCTCAACGATTGACTTCCGCAAAGGCTTCTTAACCAAGATGAGGGGCCGAGTTCGTCCCAACATCTCTCTCATCCACAAATCTGGATGAGAGAAAAAGTAAAAAGCTATCAAAACACAGTAGTTTCACTTAAAACGGTACAAAGTTGTGTCATTTAAAATTACACTATGTCTGACCGGTAATTCACTCTTGAGTAGAGTATTATCAGTCAGACATAGTGTAATTTATAAGTTTGTAAAACAAAAAGTCTGTAAATGGATCCTTCCCCACACACACACATATATATATATATATATATATATATATATATATATATATCGAAAAAATGTTTGTCCTTTTAAAGGATATAACTTTGTGTCATTTTAGATTCTAACCGTTGATTTCCGTCAATCAACGGTTAGGATTTATTGGGTCAAACTTGTTAATTAATTAGTAATTCACAATAAAACCTAATAAATCCTAACTGTTGATTGGTGAAAATCAACAGTTATAATCTAAAATGATATAAAGTTATATCCTTTAAAAGGACAAACATTTTTTCACATAAATATATATATATATATATATATATATATATATATATATATATATATATATATATATATAGATATAGATATATGTGTGTGTGGACAAGAAAAATGTACAGTATAAGAATAATAAATTTTACACTCAATCTTAACAGTTGATTTCAGTCCATCAAACGATTGTAATTAATTAGATTATTCTTATTAATTAATTATTAATTTCGAATAAATTATAACCGTCAGATATCTAAAATCAATGGTTAAAATTAATTGTAAGATTTATTATTCTTACACCGGTATAAGAATATCTCGCCCTATATATATATATTAATTAAATAGATCGTGGTATAAATTATCTGTCTATCTATCTAATATACTAGACAAAAATTATAAGGATTTTATAATGGAAGATTGTATTGGATACAATCGCCTTAATGGAGATTTCGCATTAGTGCTATGCCGTCTGTAAAGAACAACTTTGTAAGATAATGCATGAAGAAGCTCAAGTGGTAACTAGCGTGCGAGTTGGATATGATCATCCATGCAATGGCTATCTCAGTTCTTCCCGTATTGCTTTTTAAGTGATTTTTTTGTAGTTGTTTTCCCCCTCAAGTAGAGTATTGAAGCAACCAGTGAACCAGTTGTAAAAATCATTCAAGAAAAGTATTACATAAAATAGTGCCACTATGATCAAAGGGTGTTTGTTCAAATAGTACATACTTAATTCCGTTTAAATAATGTATTGAATTTAAGCTAGTGTGAATGTAAAAAAATTTCTTTGCAAAAGATAGCCCCATCAGAATATGGATGTTCAGAACAAAATTAACTTCCATGAAAGATAAATGTAGTTTATAAAAAAAAAAAAAAAAGTGCCACTATGGATGTCGATTCTTCATTAATTTCGTCAACAGATATTATTGGTTAACTAACTATCGATTGGCTATTTTTCTCCCACTACCTTTTCGGAGAACTGTATGTTTCAACTTATCATTATTAATTAATTTATAGCTCAATTATAAATCTTCTAGCCTATGGGTGAGTAGTACAAATGAAAAACACTTTTTTGTTAATTAATAGCAAGTGGACTTGGGATGATTTTTTCCCCACATTCACTCTTTGAGATTTTTCAACTTCAAGTAGCATGAAAGAAAATGGTCACTTTATAAGTACATCATCGAAAGGTGACGTTTCTTTGATTTTGCATATCACTATAAGAGATCTGAAAATATATTTATACTCAAATCCTTATCTAACAATAATCCACTACCTCATCGTGTTTCAGGGTTTCGATGAACCTGAAGACTTGAAAGACGCACAAAGTGAGCATCATCTTTTTCTTTTTAATTATCCGTCGGTAATTTTATAGATTCGTTATAGATTAATTCAAAGTTCGAGACAAGTTCAGGATTAAAATTTTAAATCTCTTTCGTAGAAAATACTGGATTGAACATATACTCTTATCATATGCACCAACCGAATCATCATTTGATAAGTGAGCATCATCTTTACATGTCCACCAGTTGTAAATTATTGAGTAAACACCCTTTTTAGTCCCTGGCAATATTTACGAAGTCCTTTTCAGTCCCTGGCAATAAAAAAGGATCAAATTGGTCCCTGAAAGTACAAGAAAAGGGCCACTCTATATATTTGGGAGTTGACATAAGGACTAACATGACCCTTTTTTTGTAATTTCAGGGACCAATTTAGTCCTTTTTTATTGTCAGGGACTAAAAAAGACTTCGTAAATATTGACAGGGACTAAAAAAAGGTGTTTACTCTAAATTATTTAACCCCGAATCCCACGAAGAATTTTTATGCAGTGCACTCCCTCGCCAATCCACATCCCTGCTTTACCGAAAGGTGCTGCTATTTCCTTTATTATCTTTCTCTTTCTTTTTTCTTTTTGGGTTGGAACTTATAACACATGCTGAAAATCAAAACTATTTTTTTAATCAGCCCTTTATATTTTGTGGATGTATTATTTATACATTAATTGAACATATAGAAGTTAAAGAAGTCGAATAGCTGTAGTTAAAGTGATTTTAATTTTAACTTTTTATGATATTATTTTATGATATAATCGAATCTTATTTAGGATATTTTGAAGGAGGACATTCGAGTAAATTTAAGTTAGGAGTGGATAAAATCATATGGATATAAATTATCGTGAGTAAAAAAAACAAAAATTAAGATATTTTTATAATTATAATATATTGTAGGATTATATTAATCTTTATTATTATAATTTTTTAATCTTATAACTCAAAACGATATCGTTTTAAGTTCATTGAAGATAACTTTATCTCCGGTGACTGGAAAAATACATTTCCCTTATTTAAAACATGTAAATATGTCATCTGTTCAGTTTTTTTTTTAAAGTAAATATATCACTCTGTCATGGAGTTAAATATGAAATTTCAAACTCAAACTTGGAGCGAGATCCCACTTATGACAGAACTACAGTTTATTAGGATTTTTTTTTTTGTTTAGTGAAAGCAAAAACTGAATTAAAAAAAATAAATAAACGAGAATTTAATTATTTTAATAATGATGATATGCAGAAAATTACTCTTTTTATTTTTTATTTAAATAAATTGCATGAATAAATACTAACATAATTTTCGACTAAAGTGGTCAGCATAAAAAATTGTGAAAGCAATCTCTTTCTATTTCTTACAATTAGTAACCCAGGAAAAAAACCCATTACTCCATTAGGAAGCTGATTGGTATTGATATTGATAATTTCAGTAAGGTAACAGAATGGGCTGGTTCAGGTTTTACCGAAGGCAATTTCTGGAGCCAACAACATCAACCTCTTCCAAGGTAAGGGTGACGCTACTATTAACCCAATCCAAGATTAGTGAGCATTTCCTAATAAACTATCATCTAAGATTCTAAATTTGGAGTAATTTTTGCACTCTTTTAATGGATACTCTGTTATTGAAATAGAAATAAATAAATTCACGTAACATTAAAATTAAAAATAAATAAATAAATTAAGCGAAACAATTTTTTTTAACTTTAATAAATGTAATTCCAAACTTTTTTTTTAAATTCGTATCTAAATACCATCAAATATATGAATTAATTGATAAGGTATTGTTCCAATTTAAGTAATTATTTTGAGTTTAAGTCTTTGAGAACACAAATATATTAAAACTTGGTAATAAGAGCTTTGCTCTCTTATAATCTTACCCTAATCAAATTAGTCGAATAATCAACAAATTTTCAATAATAAAAAAAAATCGCATCCAAATTATGAACTGCCAAGTGCCAAGGAAATGTGTCTTGTTTATTGTTTAGAATGTTGGGTTGGTCTTTCTCCTTATATTTAATTTTGTTGTTGTTGCTATAACCCAGTTTGAGTGGGCTGAATTACCAATATGAACCTTCTGCAGCAGTGTAGCCCACGCTGAGAGGGCGAGAGGAGAAAAACCAGAAATCAATAAAGCACCGTTTTTAATTCAGAAAAGAAAGAGTAGAAAACGTTAAATTCTCGTTAATAAACTTTTAAGTGAAATATGCAACGTTAGTATTCTCCCAAGTAAAACTAACATCTATAATGAGGGAAAAAAAATTATGTACACTAAGGATAATACTTTAAATTATTCAGATTTGATCTAAATCATATTAGAGGTCAATACTCTCCTAAGTAATGATAATATTAACACCTTGTATTGACTGTGGTCTCCGAGAAGGTAACTTTCATAGATCAAACCAAAACAAAGGAATAGTTGTGGCTCAGTTTTATCGACAAATTGTGACTTTCATATATCAAACCAAAACAAATAATATTTTTCAAAGAACAAATCGTATTTTTCAGGAAAAATGCTTTGAAAAAAAAAAATTAGTGTATAAATAAAGGATTTGTTGTTTCTCATGTTATATAGAAAATAAAAATTATCTCATATAAATTTATGTATAAGATTTATTTATTTTTATGTAGGTGTGAAAGATAATTTTTTTTCGTGAGATATATTAAACCATAAATAAATGAAGTGGAAATCTGATTTGAAAGAAAGGCGTCAGATTTAGAGAACGAGATATCAACCGTTGATTTAATATACCATAGTGATAAAATGATTCTCCCAGAGACGCAGTGAAAAGAGAAGAGAGATTATAGAAGAACAGAAAAGAGACATGGCGCTACCAGTATCTTATTCCTTAGCGCCACTCACCTTCAAGTCTTGCACCTTCTTCAAATTTCCTACAGTTCCAATCTCAGCTTCATTTTCAATCCCTAATTTTAATTCCAGTTTCAGTTTCAGTATTCTCTGCCGTGCCACTAATTCACAGACTGACCCTATCAACAAGAAGAAGCGTTCTTCTTCTTCGTCAAAGAAGAAGAAAAAGAAGAGTAGCGTTGGGGCTGATGATTCCAATCCTTTAAATTTCAACGATTTTGAAATTTTACATGATTTTTCCAGTGGTGTAGATGCCGAAAATGCCTCCACCAGTTCCGATTCTTCCTTATATTACCCTCCTGATCCAATGCCGTTGCCCGAACCTCCCGCTGGATTCGTTTTAGGGGATAACGGCAAGGTTCTCCTTGCTTCCACAAATCGACTTGCCACTATAGTGAGTTTTTTCCTTTTCTGTTTCTTTCTCTTTAACGGTCGTATTCACATTTCATAAATATTTTTGCTGAATGATGATTGTTAATTTATAGCTCGCAATTTCCTGTCACTGTAAAATTTTGGTAATGGTGTAATCATAGGAAGGTTTTATTCCTATGCTAACTGTGTTCTTTTATTGGCGTGTGAATGTGCTGTTTCGTTGCATTCCTTAAATCTACAAATTTTGAATAAGATGTTAACAGGTTGATCCAACGAACAACCTTCCATTAGAGTGTGTGATAAGGAGAGTATTCAGAAGTTCTGACAGAGATGAATGTGTGTTGCTCTGTCCAGTTGACACGTAAGTGAAAAAAAAAAAAAAACTTCTACAGTGCTGTCCCTGCCCTTGCTGCATTACTATCCCATAAACCTAAAATCTTATTATCCTTTCATTCTATTATTCCCTTGTATGGATTTTTTTGTCTTTTTTTTCTGCAGGCCTATTCAAATATTGAAGAGCACCAAAGTTGATGGATGGTCAGCTGTAAGTTTCTGTCCTGCGTTCTAAGCCTCGATTTGTCTGTTTTATATACATTGTATGTTCCTATTCATTGGTGCTGCTACATCTAATCTTTTTCGAGGAGTAATATTTTTCAACTAATGCTTTAAAGAATAGGATCCACACTTTGTTTTGACGAAGATAACATCTCTTGCCCTCACTTGTATATCACAAGGCACTCTTTTTTATATCCCTAAACTACTTTTGAATTATCCGCTCATCTTCGCTTATCAGAATTCATTGCTTACTTTGGAAAATTTAAAACATGTTTTTGGTCTCTACACATGTCACTCATTTTGAATTTAGTCCCTTTGCAAAAAAAAAAGGTTTTCAATCTGGTTGCTATGGATACCATCATTTTTAATTTTGTCCTTGTCCTCTATTATCATTATAACATGGTGAGATTGACATGAAGTTACTGTGAGATATAGAGACTAAACTCATAGAGACCACTTACCACTAGGCTACCCTCAATTGTTGAACTTATAGAGACCAAAAATAAAATATGTTTTGCCCTTATATGTGACACGTTTTCAATTTGGTCCCTACACTTCAATATGTTATAACTCCAACAAACGGTTTCATAACATTAGCATACAGCAAGGACCAAATTGAACACAATCATACATATAAGCTTAAATTGAATACTTTTTTTGTATAAAGATCAAATTGAAAATAATTGTCATATCTAGGGACCAAAAAAAATTTTAACCCTGGGGGAAAATACATATTTCCTTTTCTTTTTTTCCTTTGGTGGATCTTCTCATTCAAATTCATATTTTCCTTCTGTGTTTTAGATCAGTGATGAGGAAGTTGAATCTATTCTTCCCGCTGCAGCTTATGCACTTGCCAAGATACACATGCATCTCGTTTATAGTGGGTATGTTTGTGATTTCTTTTTATCTAGATCTAGAAAGTCATGAATTAACATTCATGTTTGATCATTGCAAGATATTTCTGTGTCTCCATATCAGGTATTGTTATACTGCACGTGGTGGATTTTGCTACACAGAAGAAGACTTATTTGACTTTCACACAGGCAAGGATTTCGTTGCTTGCCCTTTTCCCTGAAGTACTAATGTTTATTGTTTTTGTTATCGAATATAAACAAAGCAGAGGTTTTATTTAATTTATTACGGAAACTTTCTAGTTCAAACTGTGGCTGTTAATGCATTTGAGATTCTATAGTTCATGAGAAGCTAGTTACATCATGCCATTTAGACATTATCTATATTTAATAAAAGCTTGTCAATTTTTTGGACACTAACTGGTTAGACCTTGATCCTGCTGAATGTCAACTGCTGCCAACTTTCTGGTGAAGATATAGCTTTCTCTTTGTTCTGTTTTATATTCCCTTCATCACCTCTCTTGTGATTTCTAATTACATTGCTTTTCATGGGAAATTGAATGTCTCCTTACTAATGAAAATGAATTTGCTAGGTTACTGGTATGAAAGATAAATGGAACTCCTGCTGACTCATTTTATTGCTGATATGTTTATCCGTTGATATTCTTGTGACATTTGGTTCGGTCTAATATATATACCCTCTCTTCTGGGTTATTTGCTCTATTTCCTTGCACATGTAAGGGTGTTTGCGGATTGGATCGGATGGGATGGTTTTGAGGAGAAAAGACATCCGATCCAATCCTATCGGTTTTCTTATTTTACCATGCAATCATTTTGGTTTTAAATTTAAATCCAATCTAAGAAGTTTGGAGATGGATCTTTTTTCTTTTTTTTTTTGTAGGAGACAGATTTAACATTGAATTAAGAAACAAAGAAAAACCTAATGCGTAAAACAAAACTTCGAATTGTAATATAGTTTTGAGTATCGCTTTCATAGTTTCATGAATTAAGAATTTTGGCTAAGACAAATTTTTTGGCTTGGGCACTCGTACATTTAACTTCACAATCACCAACAATTGATTAAAATCATAGCAAACACATTAGTCATTACTCTATTTCTGTATTCAAACCCTAGTAATATACTATATATTCCCGATTCATTATATATATACTTATATGTTCAGTTTAATTTGGATTGGATTGGTTTCAAAATTGGAACCAAAAATTGATTCAATCCAATAAAAAAAATCAGTTTTTCAATTTTTGGTTTTGGTTTTGGTTTTGTTTTTTTATTGGATCAGTTTATGAACACCCCTGTACATATTAATGCAAACATTGTTCTATCTTTTATCAGTTCATTACTATAATGATGCTATATTTATTTCTACCAAAAGTTATGTATATCACACTACGAAATTGGAAATTTGTATATACCATATTGGAGAATGGAGATAACTTATCTTTCTCTCCTATTCTATGACTTTATGTGCACGATTGTGGAATGTGGACAATAAGTTGCTGCTTGGTAAAAAGAGAGATATCTTACATGTGCATTGGTCCTAATCAATTTATGACATGTCATATATATTCATTCTTTCACTTGATTTTATATTTCGTTTTTGATTTTGATATGTAGACCCTAAATCTTTGCATACTGTTGAGATATATAGTCCCACATTGGTTGTATGTGCAACTAATGTGGAGTTTATAAGGTCTTGGGCACTCCCACCCTTTGAACTAGCTTTTGGGGTGGTGACCTCAAGGTTCTTAACATGGTATCAGAACCTCGCCGCCCCCCGCTTTCTCTTGTGGCGTCTCTTAGCACAGGTTGGCTGGGCCTGTTGCATTGTCCACTCTTCAAGCCCAATGGGCTCTTGTGTGAGGGGGCGTGTTGAGATATATAGTCCCACATTGGTTGTATGTGCAACTAATGTGGAGTTTATAAGGTCTTGGGCACTCCCACCCTTTGAGCTAACTTTTGGGGTGGTGACCTCAAGGTTCTTAACACATACTTTACTCCTTGTTTTCTTTTTTCCATCTGCCATATCTGATCCTATTTAACAGATTAGCTAAAAGGTTAATCTGTAGGCGGCTACTATCAACTTATTGCTCAATTTTGTCTCTACGCTGTAGTATTGGGTGATCAACTCATTGCAATTAGGGACTTACTGCTAAAGTGGTTATCTACTCCACAACTATTTAAATTTATGCCATATACATAATGCGGTATGTTTTAACCATTTTGCAGATGATGGTGAAGGAGTGGATGGCTTGCCAACTGAAGGTGTAGAAATTACATGTTTCAATCTGGTAATTTTATTACCTTCATTTACACAAATATGTCGTTGTATTTTTTGTTTCCATTTGAAGGGTTTGATTTTCATAGAAAAATTTAATTAAGCATTTCCCAAGCTAATATGGAAGCAAAATTGCCTTGCAATCATTCCCCTTTCTAGAATCTGGATGTATTAAAATTCTTGTAGCTATATTGGATAATACTTTGTGAATGCCTGAGTGCTTTTTTTTTTCACTAGTATGCACATGTTAATGACCAGTTTTCTGAAATGAATTATTGTATATTTCATTTTTGACAGAGGATCACATCGTCCCCTGCCCGTGTTACCCATACGAATGCTTCTCTTGTTTTCGTATCTGTTTTGATTAATACACTGTCCTTGATTCTCTTATGTTTTCCATAATACCGAATTTACTTTCTCACCATCTGAACGATATTGTGTTTATATCATGAAGAAACATGCGTTATTAGTTTATTTCTTAAGATGCATTTTTGGTTCATTTGTCCTCATCCGAAATTCAAAACTTAGAAGCTTGCTACTAAAGGAACCTCTGGCCTGTTACAAACCTCAGTAGAACTATGGACATTTAACATTTACTCTGTGCTAATTTATAGCCCTTTCGATGCAGGAAGGTGCGCGCTACATGATTTATACGCCATCTGATCCACTTCTATTTGTTGCTGTGAAGGTAAGCTTCTATTTGTACAAGCTTCTTAGAGAAACGATTGCCATTCTGTAAGAGATAGAAATACTGTCACATGTTGATATGTTGCGCATAGCTGCATGCATTCATTACTGTTACTGACAGCCGGGGGCTTATCAGTTCCCTGTACCAAAATCTAATTAGAGCCTGTTTGGATGGCCTTTTTCTTTTCCAAAAGCTGTTTTATTTTTTTTTTATAAAAAAAAAGTGCTTCTATAATTTTTTTGATATTTGGATGTCAGCTTTTAAAAAAAGTAGAAATAAAGAAAAAAGCCAAAATCCTACTTTTTTATAAAGCTAAAATTTCTTCTTCTCAAGTTCAAAGAAAGTGAACAAACCAGAAGCCATGTTTGAAAGTTTACCGCTGTCGCTGGATGATGATCCTCATCATCACGATCAACTCCAACAACCTGCAACATGTCTTCCGGCCAAGGTGGCAGTGGAAGCGTTGTTTCTTTCTTCAATACACCATCAGGAGGAGAAGGAGGAAGGAACATAAGCAGAAGTAGCTATCCGTTCTCCTCCATCACCGGCGAACTATTTGGTGCACCCAAGCTGCCTCCGTTCTAGCTATTAATAATTTATGAATATTTAAGGATATACATTAATTAATATTATGGAGCAACACATGATTTGAATTGAAAACATGTAAATTAAGTGGCTCATGCCTGTGTCCTCCGGGGATCGGAGTTGGGCGGCAGCGCTGGTGGTGCTATATTGAACACATTATTACCTTGCTTTATTGGAGTTTGATAAAATGACCCAAAGAAACAAGTGCTTTTTTATTTTAACATCCAAATGGCTTTTTTACTTAAAAAGCATTTTTCAAATATTGCATCTAAACGCAAAATAACTTTGACTTTTAAAAAAAGTTCTTTTTAAATAGCAACTTATAAAAAGTCCTTTTTTTAAAAACCCATCCAAACGGGCCCTTATTCAGTTTCTGTTCCCTGTCATCATTGATTTTTGTTTTCTGTTATGAATATAGGTTGTACCTCAAATCAATGAAATATAATCATTCTCTCAACCTCTCCAATCTCTTCTCCTGCACTTTCTTGCATTTTCTTGGTTTGTTTTGCTCTGCAACATTGGCAGCATTCCATATTATCTTGAGATATTTTTCTCTCTGAAATGCAGCTTATAGTTGACTGGAAACTTTCCAGAATACCAGTGTGAATGTAGTATTAAAGTTCTTTTAGTTCCGAGTTTATATTATTGGCATAAAATACAGGAAAGTATTTAATTTGGCCATTCTTTATGCAGGATGAGAACGGGATGCTACAAATTGCTGATGATGTAAGTAGGCAATCTCCAGTTCAGTGCAAAAATTGTTCACTATTTCCTTTCTTAGTTCCATTATATTGTATGTGTTGCACGGGTCCTTTTTTCCCCCTATTTTGCTCCATTATTTTCTAAGCTCAGAATGCCACTTCAAGGGATTGTTTTCAGATTTTGGCTCCCTTAATATGTTCTGGTTCTGGGGTCAGCTTAATAATGTCAATTACTCAATTATGAACTCATTCTCAGTTTCAACTTTTGTTTCTTGTATACATTTATAGTGTGGAGTCAAAATATGAATTTCTATCAGATATATATTTTTTGATGTTATGGTAAGCTTTAATATAAAGGGGGCGAACCGGAGCAGTGGTAAAATTGTTCCTTCGTGACTGAAAGGTCATGGGTTCGAATCCAGGAAACAGCCTCTTTGCAATTATGCAAGAGTAAGGCTGCGTACAAGGATATCCTCCACCCTACACTCTCGCTAAGTCTTTAATGGGGAGTGATTTTTTATAGCAAGCTTTACTATAAGTGCCCAGGAACTGCTTGAGGTTGCTGATGGCAACATTTCTGAACAGGACCTGATTGAGGATCCTGCTGTCATTGACGCCATAGATGAGGAGACTGAATTTAATGCCTTGGTGGTATGTGGTTTCATTCTTCCAATTTGACATTTCTGTTGTTAAATTAAGCTCGACCCTATTCATTTCCATTGTTTGTGTTGTCGTCACTGCAGGAAGAAGAAGCTGCACTTAATGAGGCAATGATGTCATCACTGGAGGAAGATGAAGCTTCACCTTATGACATAATGATGGATGAAAGATAACCTGATATACCTTTTTGCAGCAGAGCTGTCCCGATGCTTTACTTTGTTTAGTATTTGTCCTCTGGAAAGCCACGTCCTGCTCTGACGGCAAATATCTCGGGATAGAATGGCCTCCATTTGTGTATATGATCAATTTTGTAAGGACTGCATCGATTTAGGGTTCATGTGTGGGAAGCGCCCTTTTGCCCCCTCGCTATTTTTAATGGTTTTTTTAAAAAAAAAATAATAATAATAAAAAAATCAAAAGGTGGGGTAATCAATAGAGAACGGGAACATTTCCTTCACAACTTTCTCTTATTTTTCTTATTCACCGTGTTGTGTTGGACATGCCTCGACTTATCGAATTAGACAGCAGTACACTAGCATGTATTAAAATCCAAAGCATACAAAGATATTAAGGGGCCTTTATCCTGGCCTATACAATGCTTTTATCTCGATCTTAGCTCAAACAAAATCAGCGTTTATCTGCACTTTCATTACTATTGATTTATCCTTTTTTACTCTTTATTCTAATGCACCTTACTGTTAATTTCTCCATAAACTGTTGAAAATTCCCATCGGAGTAGAAGTGTATCAAAACATTTTCGTGAGAAAAATGACTTCTTCAGATGATTTCCTTTTTTCGGAGACTCGAATTGCGATTCGCTTGCGTGATTACTAAATAAAATTTTACAAGATCAATGTCATAAAGTTTCAGTAATATAACACAGCTATATTAAGTCCAAGCTGCTATATCATACACACATTCATCTCAATTTTTCAAGGAAAAAGTGCTAAACTGTATAAATTAGCATGCGAAAAGCCCTTAATCTGACTTCTTCTCTAGTGGATGGGATTTATCGATGACAACATATCGCTTGTCTTCGGCTTCCTTAGCAAAGGTCTCTTCTCTCTCTTGGAAATACCTCTCAAAAGCTCTTGGAAGGAACCTTGGTATCAAGAACCCAAAGAGCTTGATGGAGAAATAAACAAGATTAGCCACCGCCAGAACCCTCCCGAACCAAAACCATGCCTTGTCCTGCATGCATCCACCATGCATCAAATTGCTATTCTCCACCCACACACACACACACACACACAGTACGAAACTAGTCCTACAAACATATACATAAAATTATTAAATGTGTGAAGAGTGAAGAAATATATAAAAATAACCTTAAGATGTGCATCTGCGGGCAAAGTGTTGTTGAGCCACACATTTTGTATCCAATTAATATCCATAAAGATCCTCCTGAGTGTATAAATGAGGGGCACCAATGCCCTCACTGGTGAAGAAAACATTGACAAGCCACTTATTATATACTCTGTTAGTATTTGGAAGGAGATCAAGAACAAGTGTGGGCTCGCTGATCGCACTGCATGTTCGTCCCCTCTGCCAAACCCACCCAGCACGTACGCAAGAGGCAAGAACAGTCCAACGGTGGTTCCAACAGCCACATTCACTTGGAAAAGCTTGCTTCCATGGAATATCTGCTGGGGTCCACACCCATATGATGGAAAGGCAAAACATGCAAGTCCCAATATATAGATAGAGACAAGGACAGGGAACACTAAATCAAGTAGAGGGACAAGACCACTTGCTGAGAAAACCAACACGAATGCCACAAGCTGCAACTCTATCAAACGCAAAGAACCCATCATTGTCATGCTACCAACAGGCGCAACATGTTCCTGCTGAGTCACCGTTTTGTGTTGCTCCCCTCGACCAGCCACAGCTAGGGACACACCCGACATAACTCTTTACCTTAATTTTTTCAACAAGGTTGTTGGTCAAAGTCACAGGTTAATTAATTCCTTTTCCTTGACAGAAAATCTAGGAACAGTTAAGAGGTAGTTATATGCATATGTACATCAAAATGCAATAAAACTATCCAGCAATTCAAGCAAGATACGTGTAACACATAAATGTATGTACATACCTTTACTAGCTAGAAGAACTGAACGATAAAAGGTGTTATGAAAATCACGTATTGAGAGGGAGAATTCATATACTATATCGGCAATACTGCATTGACATGTTTTCAGATAGAGATGGTAGAAATGAGAGACAAGGAAGAGTTATTGATTCACAAACTGAAGTTAATCTGCTCTGCAACGTAACATACTAACGTGTAGTGAAGCTTGCGCGACACTTGCTTCCTCGTAAACGTGGGCTTGGCCATTGCTGTCCACGTGTCACGTTTTACTTGAATGTTGCAAAAATAAATTTCTCCCTTGGCGAGTTATATTTTATTCTGAAGTTTAAACATAGAAGAAATTGTTTTATTATGAGTTGGGATATATCACGTACGGACCTCGACAATAGCATAGTTGAACTACAAAATCTTTGCGTCGATAACCTGATGTTTGATAATTATAGTTATTCTAACTACTAAAAATATTGTAAACTACCCCACATACTAACACAAGACTTTTCAGTGTGCTTTTTCCTCACTCGCACACTTCCCGGAAAAACTTCCCAGGAGGTCACCCATCCCTGAATTGCTCCAAGTCAAGCACGCTTAATTGTGGAGTTCTTCCGATCCGGGCTATCGAAAAACAGATGTTTCTTGTTAGCATAGGTAGTAGCAATAATTCTTATAAGCTATCACAAACTGTGCAATCTAATACCTGCAGCCTTTGGAATCTCTCTCTTTCGGGTGTCGATTTGATTCATTCATGCATGTAACCCCCCGCTAGAAGCCTGTCAGGAGCCGCTCCTTGTCCGTGCCTCTTTGCACCGGCAATCACTCCCCGCCCTCGTCAGCGCTCAGGATGTTACATGCACAAGAATCAATGACTATCCCCACATACTAACACGAGACTTTTCAGTGTGCTTTTTCCTCACTCGCACACTTCCCGAGAAAACTTCCGAGGAGGTCACCCATCCTGAATTGCTCCAAGTCAAGCACGTGGAATTCTTCCGGTCCGGGCTATCGAAAAGCAGATGCATCTTGTTAGCATAGGTAGTACGAATTAATTCTTATAAGCTATCGCAAACTGTGTAGTCTTATATCTGCTCAGCTTTTGGAATCCCTCTTTTTCGGGTGTCGATTCGACTCATTCATGCATGTAACCCCCCGCTGGAAGCCTGTCATGAGCTGCTCCTTGTCCGTGCCTCTTTGCACCGGCGATCACTCTCCGCCCTCGTCAGCGCTCGGGATGTTACATGCTCACTATTAACTTACTATCCATCACATCATCATTGGATTAAAAAGAGAGAAGGTTAAAAAGTTCTTAAAGAGAGAGAAAATGTTAATCTAATGGTGATTAGATAAGTAATAAATTAATAGTGAAAATTTTTTGTAGTGAAAATATCCCTCCTCAGTTATTTATGTGTGTTTTGGCTATTTTAAAAACATATATGGTTTTATCAAAAGCAAAGCAACAATATGATGAAGGGCTCATTTTTTCAATTAATTATTAAATTTTAATGTAAAGATGTTAATATATTTGAGTAATTTTAGACCTTCTTCATTTGCTTTCTTTTATCTTTTCATTTTACCGAAACGATTATATATCTACTATTTTTCATTCCCCCTTTTATCTTGTCCTTTTAATTGAGTGAAGAATAAATATCAATTTTTTATTTTTTTTTGAAAAATGGCTTCATCCCAAGCATAATGCATTTCATAAGTCTTAACAAAAGCATATAATAGCCTTACTTACCTATAAAAGTTGACAAACAAAAATCTTATCTTTTTTCTCTAATTTAACATTTAAAAAGAAAAAAATATCTTTATATATTTCTTTTTACTCTACTTTGATGCAGAAGAAAGCATAATATATTATTATCTTTTACTTAATTAATATCTTATTAATAAAAAGAAGAAAGATCAGGATACCAAAAAAAAAAAAAAGACACGTCATGTCCAAGATTGCAAGATCTCGAACAAATTCAGGCACAATGGAAGTAGCATTTTATATTAGAAAAACCTTCATATTTAAATTCTATCAATTAGAAGAAATAAAATGATATTTATTAATAAGTAATTATTTCCTATATATATTATATTGTCTCTAGTTCAAAAATATGTATTTTTTAAATAGCTTTTCCATAATCTAGCTTTGAAGAATAACACATTCTGACGTACAAATAAATTTTACACTGTGGTTAAGCTAGCAAATCTGCTTTCAAGAAATGTACCTGAATCCCGTTGATTAACATAGCGTCATCACATTGTCAGGAATTTTTTTTCCAAGTAATTAATAGTAAAAATTAGGTATTAATTTTTAGGAAAGATAGCAAAAAATAATAAGTAAAAGAATCTCCTTTCTGTGAATAATAAAAGAAAATATAATAAACTCTTTAGAAACATTAATTACCGGTAGTTCAACCGTATAGAGTTAGCTGAGTATAGAAATATTGTTTCTGAATCCGAGACGTGCGTGGTAAATTGAAGGTCACCTAAACTCTTTTTTCCTCCATAAAATGTGGTGTCACAAGGGGCAATTTAGTAACGTGAGGTGTGATCTTTTAAACCTTTTCACCTTTTACTACTTATTCAGTGTGAAATTACTTATAACTCATACCTTCTTTTTTTTTTCTTTTTTCCAAACCCCTTCTTATCCATAATCCATGGAATTTTTATACTCAAATTCTAACAATTACTTCCATATGCCCCTCCTAACAGAGTTAAAGAACTTAAGAGGTGTATCCAAAAGAGAAGAAAGAACTTAAGAGGTCACTTTCTTTAGAACTTCAAATCTCTTAGATTTATATTTAGTTCGTGTAGATTCCAAAACACATAGGTAGGAGTCACGTCAAGTGCTCCTTCTTTTTGCTTTCGCTAATGGCTATCACGCGGGCCACATATTCAACAAAAGGTTTTTGTCAAAAAAATTCACCGTCCTCTGTCTTTTTCTCTATATGCCGTTCTTTTAAGGCTACTCCTCGGAAACACTCATCGATAATAACATGCTCATTCCTTAATTACAAGCCTGGTTTCTATTCTCTTTTAATAAAAATAAGAGATAGTTAAGTCATATAACTATTTCTTAAAAAACCAATGTGTTTACTATAATCTCTTTACTCTGCCATGCCATTGTGTTGAGGAATTTTTGTATGAGGACGTGCTTATTAATTAACTACAATCAATCAGAATTTAAAATAACATTAAAATAACTTCAACAAGAACTTTGTCTTTTTTATTATTATTTCTAATGTATCTTAAATTTTTAACTAGATACGAGTTCATGCAAGAAATATTTGCTGTGTAAATGTATTGTTTATTTATGGTTGGTAATTGGTATTGATGCCACACAAATTAATTGCGTACCCAAAAATTTTAAGAAAGTGAAGAGTGTGGGAAGCAGGCCTTTTTCTTCCCCTCTGAATATATGTTTTGAGATTCTTCTGCCAAATAGGATAAGAACACAGGGAATTAGGTTTGTTTTAAATTTATTTAATTCCACTCTCATTCATTTTTCGTTTTATTTATTTTTCCTTTTCTTCAGTTCAAAAACTTCCAAACGTAGCGTGGTATTATCATATAGAGTATATTTATAGTGCTAAAAACCGTGTTGACCCCCTTGCCCTTTTTTCTTTGTGCTAAGAAAACCCATATATTTTGGACCATTGCAAAATTCACATAAGAATAAACTACATGTTACTGTTGTCTAAGAGTTTGTTTGGATGATTTTTTTTTCTCTCACAAAACTTTCATCTTAAACAATTATTTAGATGTCTCCTTTTAAAAAACATAAAAATTGATAAAAAGTCAAAATTCAATTTTATATTAAAATTTCAGACTTCTAAAAAAAAGAATCAAGTTAAATATATATTTTTTCAAAATCTAAATTTTTCTAACCCATTCTGTCAAAATGAAAAGTAGCTTTGATTTTAATAAAGTATTTTTATCCCAAAAAGTTGGACCAAGTGACAATATAAGCTTCAAGATGGAGAGTAAATATATAGTGTTTCAGGACCAATGCATCGCCACAGAGAGAGGAGAAAAGAGAGAGAGAGAAAGAGTCAAGGAATTAATTTCCCAAGATGGAACCGTTGAGAAGATTTTCTATGTCAGAGTTAGATAGTTATCACACCACTCGATTGCAAATTAGAGTCCGTTTGGATGTGCTTTTTTTTCTTCAAAAGCTACTTTTTTTAAGAAAAAAAAGCACTTCTCAAAAAAAGTCTGTTTAGATGCCTGCTTCTAAAAAAACAGAAGTCATAAAAAAAGCCAAAAACCTACTTTTTTCGGAAGCTAAAAATTTCAGCTTTTAAAAAAAGCAAAAGTCAAGAGCCAAATATTTTTTTCATAAATCAAATATTTTTTAAAAAATCTAAATAGCTGTAACTTTTATAGAAAGTACTTTTAAAATAAAGAAGTGATAAAAAGAACTTTCTTGAAAAGGCAATACAAACGAGCCCTTAATCTTATACCTATAGAAACCAATTTAACTAAAAAAAAAGGTCTTTTAAAAGAACATAATGTGTATTGATGTTCTTTTTTTTAAAAGTTAGTCCAAACGGAGCATAACTAAAGGACAGAGCTTTCTCCCGCTCATGTCCAATTTGATAAGTGGGCTCATGATGAAAATTTTGTCTTGTTCGGAGAAGAATAATGAGTCCATCCATATTTTGGCCCAACTCAAAATTGATGTGGTTGCAAGGACAGAGCTATATTATGATGAGTCCGAGTCTGAGTTACAACTATGATAATTAAAATTTTGATTTATTAGTATAATTTTATATTTTTATAAATTTTTTTATCGAAATAATTTTATCAATATTTTAAATGTTTTTACGTTTTTATGATTTTTTATTATTATTTTACGTTACGATTTTACATTTTAAAATTTTCTTATTTTCCTTTCTGATTTTACGTAAAATCTCGATTTTAATTACTTTAGACTTACAATATTTTTTTTTTATTCTTATTTTTTGTTATTGGGACAAGAAATGTGGGACAGGGAAAAGTGGGGACAGATTTGAATAGTTCGATTTGAATAGTTCCCAAACACCTATATTGCAAGTGGTAAATCATCATATATGGTCCCTTGCAGCACAAGGGAGACAGTAATTAAACCGAAGTCAATGTTGGCAGCTAGTGTGTGAAGGATGAAGAACCTTCCCAGAAGATGGCAAATTTAGTAGAGAACAAATCTTCATTTCTCTTGAACCTGTTGGCTGTTGCTAATCTTCACGGTTGACAATGATGTTTCTTTACCATGTTCATTAAACTATAATTCCTTTTTAATCTTAGACATATATATATATATATATAGTTTATTAGACCACTGAACAAGATGGCGGCGAGTGTGTGGGGTCTGCGTGGGTGTGGTGGTATGCGAGAAGTAGCTAGAAAATTTGGTGCCCAAGGAACGACGTAGATGCCATTTTATAATGACACAAGATGGAGAAAATCTTTTTCAAATCATGCATAAGCTGACAAACAAGCACGAGCATTTGATTATTTTTAACTATTCATTTTTTTACTCAATAGTTTGTCAGATATATTATTACATATATTAAGTGTTCACACTCAGTCTTACATAAATACATACATACTAAATTTCAATTTTAGCAAAAGTCTCTCCATTCATTGCGTTTGTGCGTGCGTGAAATAAGAATCCTTGTACATTCCTATAGTTTTACACCTAGTAACCGATAGCTTAATTTTTAATGAACACCGTGTGTAGTTTGATTAACGTTATATATGTTGTTTGTTTATTAACAAAATAATAAATGTTGTTAAAATCTAATAAGAAGTTCAGGTCGAACATTTACTAAGAAAAAATTGAAAGTAGATCGTCTCATAATAAAATATTTTATCCATTTATTTAAAACTTAATAGTCAAAGTTATTATAATTGATCTAGTGGTAAGGGTTCTGAGTAGTTTGTATTAGGTTATATGTGTAATTATCATCAATGTATCAAAAAATCGATAGTCATAATTTAAATGGAAAAAGTAAAAATTATATTTTAATTGCTAAGAATTAATTTAAGAATGAAAGAATAAAATCTTCCACATAATTAGGTAATGTGAAATTTCTACATAATAGAATTGAGTCGTGTAAAATTTAAAAAAGTTAGAGGTCAAAGGAGTTTCAAAGGGCAATAGATCGAAGCTGGCCAAATAGAAAAGGGAAGAGACAAAAACTTGACCAGAGTGAAACGAAGAAGGTTTAAATTCAACCCCTATAATGCACGAAATGTCATAACTCACCTTAAACATTGGTCCTACTGGGAGAGGATTTGTCGAGTGGTCTAGATAAATCCTTCACGAGGTAACATCCAGGTAGCTTCTACCTTAGACCAACGTCCTTATCCATGAAGGACTTGTTAAGGTCACGCATCACGTCACATGAACCAGGTTTCCCATCCATTTTACGATTCGTGAATCCATTTTCCTACCCCGAGTATACTTGTTCTCGCCTAATAAAATATAGAAAAAAGTTCACCGATCCTCTTGTTGTTTGTTTCATAATCACCTATGCTTCTGTGTTTTTTTTTATCACATATGTCCCTGTGCTTTGTAAAAAATAAAAAATCACATTAACATATATGATAAAAAATATACCTTTTGCAAATCACATGGACACATGTGATAAAAAAATCCACAAAAGCATAGATAATTTTAAAACAACCATAAAGACATTGGTAAACTTTTCCCAAAAATATAAAAGGGAACATATACACCGAATAACTTACCCAATGTTTTTTACTACGTACCTGTTGCTGCTATTAGTGCTATAACATTTTATTACTGTTGCTAAATAATATCAAGCGGAGGTTAATTGGCCTAAAAATTAATTAGTTGAATATATATATTATTGATACCAAACAATCACACATAGAATTGCAAAACAAAAACTAAAGCAGGGAAAAAAGAATCAAGATGCAAATTTACTCTGATTTATCCAACGCAGAATATGTTCAACAATGTTTTTACTATATTTTCCTCACCCTACTTATTAAAAACATCCATTTTATAATACAAATATAAATAGACTTAGAAATTCTAAGCAATATGTATTAAAAAAATAAAAATAAGCAATGTTAGTTATTCACGAGCTCAAATACAAATTACTAGAAATAAAATAAACCTGAGGCTCATAATAGTACCATACCTCGCAGAGGCATTTCTCCTATATCTTCGCCGGAATAGTTCCTCCGAAACTTCGCCCACTTATCAAAGAGTGAGACGGTTAACTTTCTTTACATCCCGCCAATAAAGATCATTATCTGAATGCGTAATATGAACTATACCATATATATATAATTATTTTTTCAACCACTTGATGTCCAGCAATTATAAGTGTATAATTATGATTTTTTATATTCAATATTATCACTTATATATATGATAAATAATTGATTGTTAGACATCAAACGACTGAAGAAATATAAATCTCATATATAATATGCATAAGTTTGTGTGGTGTGCCATGTCCTGGCAGAGAACATTTTCGATACACTTGTTCTACCTATGACTTTTATTAAAAAGTTAACACTTAAATTAATTTTTTTTTTCTTATACTCATCATGAAAAATATCCTATTTTAATTGATCCGTAGCACTGAATGTGTTAATTTTTCGGGTTTTGGCTATATTACAGCTAATAAATGGTGAAACCATTTATGTCATTTGGCAATAGCCAATATGATATGTTAGTGTTCTAAAATTTCAGAGGAAAAATGCTCTTCCTATATGGAAAAGTAATTATTAAATAAAAATAAATAAATTGACAAAGGAGACAAGAGGGTGCAGGGGAATTAATGAGGAGAATGTTGTTTTTTCCGCAAAATACGCCGTGTCATGTGATGTGAGGAGTCATAGAATATTTTTGGTAGGACAGGGAGTACGTATTTTTTGAAAGTATATCCTTTCATATTAAAAAATAATAATATAATTATATAAAAAATTATAATTATATAAAAATGAACTAATAATAATAAAAAAGGAAAATAACAAATACTAAAATAAATAGTTATAAAATTATTACCATTCATTTATCTTTATAATTTTATATGATTATGATTTTTCACATAATCATGTCATTTTTTTTAACATAAGAGGATCACTTTCTATATTTTTTTTAAAAATAAGAAAAAATAGAACTTAATTAATAATAATCATAAAAAGTAAATAAAATAGGTAAAAACAATTATATTTTTTTGTCAATTTTAATGAAAGATTTTCTACTTGGGTGTTAATTAGACTGTCTTATTTTTTATTTTTTCCCGGAAAGAAACGAATTTCAAGTTAATAGCGAATTGGTTCATAGATTTACATATAAAACTCGAAAATATGGTAAGGTAATATTGTTAATAATTAAAGAATGAATGATAATATTATCAAAAAAAAAAAAGAATGAATGATAAAATTTCACATTGATTAAAAATAAATTAAATGAAAACAATATAAATGAAAAACAAACAAATAAACATGATGCTTTAAGATTTTGAATCAAGTTGAGATTATGTATTTATTAACATTACTAATATAAAATATAATATAATAAGGGGAATGATCCGTTTACAATTTTATTTTATAAATTCTTATAAATTAAACTATCTTCTCCCGATATATTTTCTTGAAAGAAAATAATGTAATTTATAAGAGTTTGTAAACGAAAAAAATTAAAAATATAACATGCCCCCTATAATAAATAAAGAGTATGTAAAAGATGTAACATTAATATTTTATTAATGAGATTTTGATAAGATTATTAGAATTGTTATAAGGGAAAAAGTTTCTAATGTTACTTTAGATAATTTTGTCTAATATTCATCAAAACGACGGGTTGAAAAATCTAAAAATTAGAATGATAAAGATTATTATAACCTTAAAATAAATTAAAATTACAAACCCACAATGATTTTTACTCCAAAATAACGTCGTTTCGGTGTAAATTAGATAAAATTATCTAAAATAATTTTAGAAAAAACAAATCCTTGTTATAATATTTTTATTAAAAAAAGATTGAAAACAAAAGACCATTGTATTGAATGGCGTCGACCGAAAAAGACAGAGCCGCTACCATTACAGTGAACGTATTAACCAATACAGGCCGAGAGAGATGACGGAAGCAGTGACAAAATCACCACAGAAGTGGGGACACTCTCCTCTCTCCAGTGTGTGTCAAAACCATCCATTCATCCACTGACACGTCATTCTTCCTGCTGTCACCTTTGCCTCGGTCTTCGCCTCCCCCACCCACCTGTCTTCACTAACCCCACGTGTCAAATTAACCCCACTCACCCCTATAAAACCCAAGGTGCTTCCTCTCTCCCAAGTTCGGAGTTCCTAGTTGCATAGCACCTGGGTCCAGGAGAAGAAGAAGAAGAAGAAACAAACAAGAGCCAAGCAAGCAACGAGAAACAGAAAACAAGACTAGAGAAGAGAAGAGAAGAGAGACGCGAATGCAAGGTGAATTGGAGTTACCACCTGGGTTCAGATTTCACCCCACTGACGATGAGCTCGTCACTCACTACTTGTGTAGGAAGTGTGCTTCCCAGTCAATTGCTGTTCCTATCATCAAAGAAATCGATTTGTATAAGTTTGATCCATGGCACCTTCCAGGTACTTCTTTCTCTCTCTCTCTGTTTTCTCTCTTTTTTCTTTCTTTCTTTTCTTTTTCCTTTTTAAGTTTAACAATCTTAAAATAAGGTCTAATAACTCTTTTTTTTTTTTTACTTATGTACAGAAATGGCTCTTTATGGTGAGAAGGAATGGTACTTTTTCTCTCCTCGGGACCGAAAATATCCGAACGGTTCACGGCCGAACCGGGCTGCCGGAACCGGATATTGGAAGGCGACGGGGGCGGATAAACCGATCGGAAAACCGAAGGCGCTTGGGATAAAGAAGGCACTCGTGTTCTATGCAGGCAAAGCCCCCAAAGGTGTTAAGACCAATTGGATCATGCATGAATATCGCCTTGCCAACGTTGATAGATCAGCCTCCAAGAAAAACAGCAACTTGAGGGTATGCACCTTTCTTCATATTTCACTCATCATTATTATTTTTATTATTATTTTTCAAAAGGTTAGGCTCAACTTGTTGAAACCAAAAAAAAATAAAGGGCTTTGGTCAAATTGGTCTTTTTCTTCCTTTTTTTATTTTCCTTTTCAATAACACGGTTTATTTGATATTGATGGTGATGTTATGGGAATTGCAGCTTGATGATTGGGTGTTATGCCGAATTTACAACAAGAAAGGGAAGATTGAGAAGTACAACACCGTGGGTGTGGCGGATCAGAAACCAGCAAAATTTTCAGAACAAGTTCAATTTCACTATGAGCATGAGCATGAGAATGAGACCAAGCCAGAGATAGATATAAAGATGTGCGGCCAGGATGATTTCAGGAATGACCAATTGCACATGGACACGTCGGATTCGGGTCCCAGGTTACACACGGACTCCAGCTGTTCCGAGGAGCACGTGGTTTCGCCGGATGTCACGTGCGACAAGGAGGTGCAGAGCGAGCCCAAGTGGAATGAACTTGACCTGGTGCCAGACCCAGACGCAGCCTTTGATTTTCAGTTCAATTTCATGGACAGTAACATAAACCCGTCAGTGGTGGATGACCCTTTTGCCCCTCAGGTCCAATTCCAAATAAACCAGCTCTCGACTTGGCAGGATATGTTCATGTACCTACCAAAGTCGTTTTGATTTTTTTGAACGGTCACACTCATGGGGTTGAAACTTGAAATTGCAAAATTGGCCCCTTTGAGAGGACGGGGGAATCCTAATAAGGAAGGGTCCCACATGTATTTTTAAATTCGTTTTAGACAAAAAAAAATTGCATTCACACCTACCTACCTAACCACTGCTCGTGGACCACTGCAAGTGCCGGCCATGGCCTGCCCTGAAATCAAACAATGGTTCATGCGTGGTACCTATTCTATGTTCTTGGAAGATTTCTATGGATTGTTGAATTTGGCTGCTATGGATCAATTGGGTTTTGAACCTAAAAGGAAACATGAGATCAAGTGTAACTTAAAAATAAGCAGAATGATCTCAATTGAGTGAAAGATCCAATGAGTCATGTTAGGATATTGTAGTGTTAAGTTAACATGTAAGGAGTCCCGTAGAAAATTCTTGTTCCATTGTTATATTGTACTAGGAATTTTTTATATGTTTGTGATATGTATATTTTATTTTTCAAATTAAACTTCAAAAGAAACAATAATTAAATGTAAGTTTTTCCTTTTGACTAATTACTTACTGTAATCACAAGGTAATACTAATACACACTGAATATCGTACGTGCGAAGAAGACAGACAGTACATTAGTAGTACAATATCACCATGATCTATTATGACTGCAGGACAATATCTACTCTCTTGATGATACCAACAATATACATGAGAGTATTAGCCTATTAGGTGTTTTATATGATCAGATACTAACATGTCTGGATCTTGGAACATAGTTGCAATCTGCAGATCCCCAACCAATCAACTGCTTATCATTGTCGAATACCATCAGTTTGTCTTGCATGGATATGTCTGCATAAACAATACCAGCACTTACATAATGCAGAGTTCAAGAAGTATTTTGATGAAAACTGCTGAAAAAGTGAATAATTATGATACAAATGATGGTAACGACATAACAAAATTCTTACCTCCAATTAGGTTCACGTCCCCCAACCCTACTTCAGAGCCGTTTAGAATGCCTAGACAAACATTTCCCATGTTCTGGCAGAACAAATTGTAAGCATTCACACATAGAAATGCATCCGTTACTTAATGTAGTAGTGGTAAACAACAAATATAGAAGATATTATTGATAGGTTAGAACTCACTGATATTATCAGATAAGCTTCAGGAGGGATCTCAAACTGAGCTTTAACTCTTCCACCATTGGTGAAACTAAGTGCCAGAGGCTTGAAATATTTCCTGACTTCACGTATGCTTTTAAAAGGTCTTCTACCGTGCCAGCAGAGAGGTAAAGTTTGGTCATCAGGTGCTGCTTTTATAGACTTTCCTGTTAATTCCTTCTTCAACTACATTTGGAAATTGAACAAAAGACCATCTTAAGTAACCTGCCAATATATTCTGGTATTACTGAAGAAAGTAGTTTGTGCATTTTTTTTTTTCCTTCATATAATTTTGAATCATCAATGATGAAAAAGGCATGATTTTATAGCAGAAAAGCCTCATGTTTATTGAAATACTTGAAATTGGGGAATATAGTGAACATTTGCTTTAACTGACCCAAGAAAGTAATGCTTGGTAAGCCTGAGAGTTGAAGTAAGTGTAAGAACTCCCAGTGTCAAAAACAGCAGTCAGACTTCCTACCCCAGTCTTCTTTCCTCCAAAAACAAGCTCAGCTGGCCCTGCTGAGTAATGTTTGCTGACACAATTCACACACAGGATTTAGATCAAGAGATAGAGTTATGAATCATTACAATAAACCACTCCCCGTTAAACTCGACTAGCGAGTGTGGGGTGAAGGTAATCTTTGTATGCAGTCTTATCCTTGCATAATTACAAAGAGACTGTTTCCTAGATTCAAATTCATGACCTTTCAATCATGAAGGAACAACTTTACCACTGCTTCGATTCGCCTCCTAGTTATGAATCATTACAATACATATGGAAAATGTAAAATGAGGATCTGACTTCTGAAGGTGTACTTACGAATCTATAGATGAAATTGGAGTCCAACTCAGTCTAGAAGAATCATAAACATTTCCAAAGAAGATATATCCTCCTCCTTTTGAACTCAAACAGTGTCCAATCACATTTTGCACCAGGCCCTGACTATTCAGCTGTGATATCAAGCTGGCTTTTCCCCTGCCAAGGCCAAGTATTCCATCTAAAGGGTGGTAAGAAGAAGGTGAAAAATCCTGATCATATCCACATCTGTAGAAAGGAATCATAAAAGAGGTGTATTAGATAACTTTTAACACGCATATTTACTAGCTGCATAGACTTAAGTGGCCGTGTACTTTAACCTAATTCACTTATATAAATCATTCTAGCCTGCATTGGTAGTTTCAATTGCAGTGCACAAACAACTTTGCTGAGATTATTTCATATCAAGGCCTTTTCTAAGAGCTTGCTTGCAGAAACACCAATTTTTCAAGAGAACATACATAGACAGAGAAAGTAAAAAAGGTTGAGAGGTGGTAAAGCAAAGCTTGCAAAGTAAACTAACCCAAGTGCCATCCGAACTTTAAGTTGGACACCATTTGTAAAGTTGAGAAGGTAAACATCGTTTAGAAGTACACCAAGGGATGAGTAATGATCAGCATATTCAATTTCATAGTCACATTGATTAGGGTCTTCACAGTTGTAGTCATCAGTTGGCTGCAAGGATGCACAGAGAGGATCCTTGCAGGGCACAAAGTCATTGCTGGGTCGGTAGAGTGGATGTGGTGTCTGCAAAAAATAAGCAACAAATTAAAGTTAACATGACACAGATTACATGTATCTATCTATATGCAAGGATGAGCTTTCCAATCTCATGATATTTTGCACCTCACATTCTTTACCTATTCAGATTTAAAAAAGAAATAATTGTTGGGGGGATTTTTCATATAGTTAGTGTAATAATACCTCAGAGCAATGGGAACAAGGGGCATCACATTGGAGCCATGTGAGGTCACTACCCGTATCAACATCAAGAAAAAAGGGCCTTGGTGGCTGGCCGATATTGAGAGTAATATTATAGAACCTGAAAATGTTGAAATTAAGGGTGACTTGTATCAGAATATCAAAGGTGTTTTGTTTAGATTAATTATTTCATCTATTTTTCCACCCAAGAATAAACAGAAAAATAATATATATAAATAAATATGAACTATGGCATGGGAGAAAATCTGCAAGGCTAGAAAGTCTTTCTTCCTTTCCTCCGTTTTCCCCTTCTCCCAAACAGGTATTAATAATCTTTCAGATTTTGGTTTAGATACTGTCAGAAAGAGTGTCTATGAACCTTTCTTTTTGTTCTTTAAATAGTAAATTAATAAATTTCAAAAGGAATAAAAAGGGTCTATGAGTCTATTCATTAAAGAAAAAAAAACAAGAAAGAAATATTCCATTTCCAATCACGAATTTGGATGCTCACATCTTTAAAAAAATGCAAATGCTTTTGTTCAGAACAAATAAATCTCTATTCGTAAATAAAAGTCATTTCCTTTTGCTCTCTATCAAAACAAAACACTTTAGAAAAGTTTTGAATGGAAAAACATTATAAAGTGAACCCAAAAACATGAATAAGTCATTTTACGTACCCAACAGGATAAACATTGCCATGAACGGGGAACACAATTGAGGAACCAGCAGGATTCATGAACCTTGATGTTGAGGATGAGACATCATCTGGGAGAATGGAGTTCCTTAAACTTTTGTGTTTACTACCAAACCAAGCCGAACAAGTAGACAAATTGAACACCATCACGGTAAGCACCAACACCACAAGCCACCCCACCTTTCCAACCTTCATCATCTTCTTTCTCTGATAATCCAAGCAAGTACTTTTTATTTTATTTTTTATCTATGGATGAAAGATATTGAAGAGTGATGGGTTGAGTTCAAGTTTTAAATTCTTGACATGATGGATTCATGGGTATTGCTTTTGCTTCATTTGTGGGTGTTAGTTTATAGGAATAAGTAATAACCTTTTGATTGGGTTTGGGTTAAGAAAGAAAGAAGGAAAGAAGTGGAATTGCTTCTCATGCTTTGGCTTCTTATTCCTTTCTTCCTCGCATAACATATTACAAGCAGCCTTAGAAATAGTTAAAGAAATAAAAAGAAAAAAATTAAGAGGGGATATGTAAGGTTGGAACTGATGAGAGCAATGAGAGTGAAGTGAGTGTTCATGTTTCTGTGTTGGATAGTTTCTTGGAAATTTCTCCCCCGTCTCCTTCCGACACTGACAAAATGATTGTTGCAACTTGCAACAGTTGACCAAAAAACGCTCCATGAGATAATAATATTATCTCGCACGTGCACATAAAAAAAAAAAACAGTATAGATATGATAAACACTAATTTAGAAAAAAATGATTGTAGCAAAAATAAAATAAAAAATAAAAACATATGTATTTTACTTTTCACACCTTTTTTCAAAAGAAACTGTTCATGAATTAATAAAATTTGTAATTAGTATTGTTATTAAAATTGGATTAGACTACTTGGTCCGACCGGTTTAATTTAAAACCGATTATCAACTAATTTGTCGGACTGATTCGATTCGTGAAATTTTGTATAAAACTTTTCAAAACAATTATAATAATAAGATTTGACTATATCTTAATGTAGAAACATACAATACTAATTATTAAACCACGACTATATATTTATAAAAATATTTTTATTATAATATATAATTCAAGCAATTTAATCAATAATATGTTAGTACCGGATCGTAGTCCGAGTTTAATAACACCTTTATGGACACAATTTTGCTGTTCCTCATTTATTGTATTTAGCACCGTGTACTTTTATGTGATTTCATAGTCTATATGGAAAAATAGTCGTATAAAAGGTTTGAAAAATTTGAAGGTCCTAAAAATTGAGTTGAGTGATTCTGTTGAGCTGAAAGAAATTAGCAAATGACATTTTTTTTTAGTAGAAATAGCAAATGACATTTAGAAAATTGTGTCATGTATTGATGAATAGTTTGTTAATTATATGACTTGATTAGCTACTAAGGATTAACTTATTCTCTTTGACTCCAGCATATTGACTTTATTTGATTTATGAATTTTCAAATTCATATACATTATTCTCTATTTAATTATTGAAAACTTCTTGGGACACCCGAACCCCTAATGCTGTTTCTGAAAATGACAAATTAAATCACCATGAAACTTTTAATATCTTAAGAAATTAGGGATTAAAAGGTAGGGACCAAGGGATAGCCATAGTTGCTGAGCCTGGGTGTACTGTACATGTTCGGGCTGCTATATATAATTTGACAAAGTGTTATTATTCATAAAATTCGCATTTATACAAGTTTTGGCTATTATTTTACATGCCATCCATCTAATTATCTAAACAATCAGCCATATGAAAGTGCGATAAACAGGTTGCTTTTGTGAGTTGAAGAACAGAGACACTGAAAGTGAAAATTATGGCAACGTCCTGAATTTCTCTACCTTTTACTATGATGAGTGGTAACTGACAGCGCTGGCATGCACAATGCAGTTTACATCTAATATATTCATTCACTAAGCAAAGTGTGTTTAGATTTATTTATTTTTAATTTGATTTATATGAACTTAATTTTGGTAATAATTAAATTGTCAGTTAGGTGATTAATATTTTTTGGATTGATAAAACTTACTCTATGCGTATAATTATTATAAAAAATGGTGCGATAAAAAATATTTGATTGCGCATATTTCATTCACTTGTACAAAATTTAAGATCTGTTAAAAGTAGATCCGACACCATGACTCAACTCAAAATTTTAAGAAGACGTTTGTTATAGAAGAAAAAAAAATTTACTGGGAAAATAATTTTGCCGAAATGTGGTAGGAAATATTTTTTCCGAGTAAGTTACAAAAATGTGTTTGGTTGACCAAAATTTGTCCCGAGAATATTTGGGTAAGTTTCTGAGTTAATGTTTGGTTGATTGTGAAATAGTAATAAGAATGTGGGGTTATTTTACAAAAATAACCCCAACTTTACAGATAGTACACAAAAAAACAGGGTTAATTTCGTCTAGATTATTTCGCTACTTTTTTAATTCCCCAGCAAAAAAATATACCAACTTATCGATGGAGTAATTTACAATGTGTCCGTACCAGAGTTTACACGTTAACTACAAAAAACGAGCAAAAGTGTTATCCAGAAAAGTGTAGCTTTTATTGTTACCAAATGTGAATATCAAATTCTTCCTACCCAGCTTTCCAAGGAAAACAAAAAAAATCTGGGTATCAAACGCCCCCTAAGGCATTAAGTTATCAATGTAGTTATATCCACTTCAGTTAGCCTATTACCAACAAATATAAAACTCATCACACTTCAATAACCCAACAACATCTTTATATAAAATATGAATCTACTCTGATTCCACGCTAACACAACTCTCTCTCTCTCAAAGTTTAGGCTCAAAAAAATAAAACCAACCCAACAAAAAATGGTCGCCAGCAAAGACAGTGTAATGCCAAAAAGCAAAAGACTTTGTAGAACTTAAAAACAAAAGAATAGCAAATCTAAGCATTGGTATAATGATTTTAGGTATGCATTTTATTTCGTACCAAGGGTAGTACAATAATTGAAAAGGATCAGACAGTAAAGTATCTAAACATCTTTCTGGTAATTTACTAGCCCCATGTTTCTCCATGTGATAGGAACCGGTTAATATTCTATCAATTGTATTTTAAACTAAAAATTGGAAATAATTAAACCTTGCTTGAAGCATATGCTGTGTTGCCATACTACTGTTTTAGCAAGCAGCAACATTGTGACCTTTACTTCTCGTTCAACAAATTATAGTGGAGCAGCAATCAAAGAACAAATTAATGTGGTTGAAAATACATGGGGAAAAAAATTATAATTAAAATATGACCCTTTGGCAGAAGTTGAACACATGAGTAATGACCTAGCAAATTGTTTTAGGTATTTTCTAATTCATGAACATTTTAAAAAGAAGGACACATGTAAATAGATGCCTAAAAAGAAACGCACCCTAAGAACGTAACATGTCCCTTATGCATCATTCTTTAGACCATCCAAACAAAGTAAGAAATATGCGAAAAATATTGCCACTGATAAGTGCCTTCAACAATTTTTCCTTCTCAGGTGTATATGGGGGATACCTTAGGGATGAATCTGCATCAAAACTTCTATAGAGAACTGACTTCTTATGGCTGAAACCATCAAAAGAGAATTTTCCATGGTAAGAACCCATTCCACTCTCTTCAACTCCTCCAAAAGGCAAACCACGAGTCCCAACCTGCATGAACATTTTAGCACATGGGATAAGTCAAATCATTCAAGACTTGATAATGCTATCGTGTGTGCTTATCTAAATCTCACATCTGAGAGAACCAATACATAGATAAGTAACTACATATATGGACACATTTTGGTGCATGTGTAAACTAGCTTAAATTTTTCTACCTTGATTTCATTTGATGAATATTATGTGCACTGCATTTTCAGGTTTCATTTCATTGTATGCCCATGCAAAATTTAGGTTATAAGGTCTTGAGCATCTAAAGATAAGTTTATTCCATTAAGTGCTTATTTGTGCTAGAATAAGAGAATCAATGGCTTTCCTCAATTATTGATTCAAGTCACCATTATATCAGCCAACCACCAGAAATTCTCTCCAGAAAAGTTGAATCATTTTATGTGTGCCAATGAAAGATGCTAAACAAAAAGAACATAATTTTTCCTTATACGTCTACTGATAGAGCACTACTAGAGATAATGGATTTATAAAAATTAGGACCATAATAAAAAAAATGTACCACACGATTAATATTTCATATATAAATTTCAGGAAGAGAATAACTACATGTATGATAGTGTCATTGATGAGCATCCCTCCAGAAGATATCTTATCCACATAATCCTTCTTCAGCTGCTCATTGTTTGTGAAGAGATACGCAGCAAGAGGTTTTGGCTTTGATTTGATTATACTGAAGCTATCTTCTATGTTGTCTACCTGCAAAGGTGAAGATAGAACAACATAATATTATGAGAAATACAAAACAAAAACATCAAGAGCTGATTTGGTATGAATAGATAACTGGGGGACGCAAAAGGGATTCAGGAAGATAGATAGTCCATGGTAATAGAAAGAAAACAATCTTTCAGGACAAAACAACTGAAGCCTTGCAGTAACATATAATCCTTTGAACAACTAGTCCTGAATGTACTTTTCCTTTGTGATCTAGTACTCACAGTGATAATTGGCATTATTGGCCCAAATATCTCCTCTTGCATTACCATAGCATCTTCTGGAACATCCAATACGATAGTTGGAGCAATCTTTCTGAAATATAGATGGAGAATTGAAGTTATGGATGGTATTGTCATAAATGATTATTTCCAATCATAATAACCAAGATGAAAACGAAACTCACAATTTCTTCTCATCCCTCTGACCTCCTAAAACAATTTTGTCAGAGACCTCATCCAAGAGCCTCACAAGCCGTGCAAACTGGGTTGGAGACACAATACGTGACATGTCTTTTGATTCCATCGGATCTTTCCCAAAAAATTGCTCCAATTCTTCTTTTAAAGCATTTATCTGTTGAGTGAGAATTTATCAAGAGTAGTATATTTTAATAGTACACTGAATTTTGTATTATTGAGTCAATCTTACCAGAGCTGGAGCAAATTCTTTTCTTGTGATGATATAATCAACAGAAATGCATGCTTGTCCACTATTGCATGCCCACTTGCCAGATATTATCCTCCTAGCAGTGACCTGAAATTTCGATGATTATTATACATTAAAATATGTTATTTGATGCATAAGTAACGAGCTTTAGAGATAATGTTACTTGTAAATTGACATCTGAATCAACAACAGCTGGGCACTTTCCTCCAAGTTCCAGTATCACTGGTGTAAGATGCTTTGCAGCAGCAGTCATGACAATGCGACCTACTCTAGCACTGCCTGCATAAAATTGGTCTATTATGCTTGGAGCCTTGTAGTGGAGTTGGCATACTAATTGAGCTAAATACATGTGACTTTTTACTATTAATTGAAAGCTTCAAATGTGTGAAAATCCACTCTTATCAATTCGA